CATTCTTCATAAATGTGTATATTAATTTTTTTTTAAATTAAAAATAGAAAGAGTTCAATGGAAATCTTATTTCGTGACAGATTCCGAACCTGTTCAACCGAGAAGAGAAATCGGAAATTGTCCAAGAGGTGTCTTCATCTCTGAAGCGAGACCAATTGCGGAATCCGGCCAGTTCGGATACCGTCTTCGACCATTTCCTGTCCAGAGCCAGAAGAAATCTGCACGTTGTACTTCGTTTCTCACCGGTGAGTGTTACGCCCTCTTCTCCATCTTCGATTCTTTCTCATTTTTGTTTCTCGATAGGCGGGAGAGAAATTGCGCCGTTACGCCTCTCGATATCCAAAAATCATCTCGGCGTGTTCCGTTGTCGGATTCCGGCCTTGGCCCCATAGCGCCCTGAAGGTGGTGGCCCTGGAACGTCTAGACGGTTTCGACCCTCCTCTTTCGGAAGATGCGCGACCCCGATTGGCGGAGGTCCTGGGTGGAATCCATCGAGTGACGGAAAGCCTCTGCGCTCGTTACCTGGAAAGGTGAGTTACATTGATCCTTCTACTTTCATACGTTAAATGTCAGCAGTAGCGATAGAGATTTCGTGAAATTAATGGCTTCCTAAACGTATTTCCTACACATTCTGACCTTTCTGATCGCCCGAGAGTGATCCACGTCGTGAGTTTCTTCCTGATTACATGGAGTTTTTCGGATTTTCTTCACGGTTTTCTCTGGCATCTGCCTTTAAATAAGACAGTGTAAAAGACACCGTTCGTTTCGAACTGCTAAGTGTGAATTTTTGGAGGAGAAAAACTGTTATAACTCGAGTTTTGTGGTGGATCTCTTTCTCATTTGTCGACGTACTTCGGAATGTTTTCGCGAATCTTTACTAGAAAATGTCTTTTTGTCAGGAGTGGTCGAACCGTACACGTGACGCCCCGTTCCTTTCTGAGCTTCTTATCCGACTATCGACGTCTCTACCGTCTTAAACGAGGAGAGGTGGATTCGGCAGCTGATCGGACCCGGCGGGGAGTGGCCAAGCTGGAAGAGGCGTCTGTCTCTACCGAAGAACTGAAACGGAATCTGGCGAGGACGGAGGAAGAGTTGCTGGTGACCACTCGAGAGTCGTTGGAGGTAAGTGATGCTGCTGGCTGTTCCATCGGCCACGACGATAGACCAATTAAAAACGCTGAGGATAGTACGAAAAGTGTCTCTTCTTGAGAGGCAATATTTGGCTACTCACATTACCGAGGAAATATGTATATGCGACAATCTACCTTTAAATGTCTTGGGGCAGGTGCTGGCTCGAGTGACAGAACGCACCCGGGCGGCTGAAGAAGTGAAGGAAGAGGCCCGTCGAATGAGGGAGGAGCTGAAGTCTCTGGTGGACGGAATTGGCATCGACAAAGCCATTGCCGAAGAGAAGTTAGAAGAAGCGGGACCGGCCCTGCGAGAAGCGGAAGCCGCTCTGGATACCGTTCGCCCCACCCATATAGGTAGGTCACAAAAATACCGTAAAAGTCTAGTTTTTCTATTTTTTTACTAAAAGGATGAAAGGAAAAGTGCAAACCCATGCGTTTGCTAAGAAAAAAAAAACTTTATATTATTAATTATTAAATATTCAGGTTTTGTATTATGCCCATTACAGAAATGTTAGAAATATCTCAATTTGTTCGGGTAATCTGAGAAACTGAATACACATATAAATAGCTTTTTAACTGAAGTTATTGGGAGCACTTGTGCTTTTGAAGCTTGTTGAACAGCTGTTAATAGGGACAGAGTTTTCTTACAACAATCGCATACGTAAAGACCAGGCTACAAAAATGTCATGGTCTCAGGTGGATGTGTGGTCCTCTTCTATAAGAGTCTACAGACTTTGATAACAAACAGCTGCTAAAGTCCTTTTTCTTTCAATCTCTGAACACTGTAGTGGTCCAGGATTGGCTCCCGCCCAACGAGCTGGCAATGTAGAATTTTCCAGGTTTTTTTAACATGTCCAACACCCATGCTAGGGCCACATTTTTATTGAAAATCCTTCCGACTGGCACCTACCTTCTAAGCATATATTTTATGTATTGCGTTGCCGTATCTCATCAAACCAAGCAAATCAAGTATTTTTCTTTTCATTAACCATCACTACAGCAAAGTCAGCAAGTTTAGAGAAGTATCTTCACTACAATAATTCAAGGCTATTTATATGTTAACATATAAATAGTTTTGTTAAAGTAAACTAAAAACATTTAAAAGGGGATAATGTTAGTTATCATACACTATAAACATTATAAATAAATAAATATATATATATCCAAAATATGAGAGATTTAAATGAAACTTTAAACTTTAATGAAATGACTAGAAACGACTTATTGCCCTAGGACAATATCCCAAAACAATATTTTAATTAACTGAGTCTTATAATATAACAAGTATGATGTAGGGAAAATTGTATAAATTGTGAATCATGGGTTGTGAGCTCTTTCTGCACTAAACTAGCGGCAATTGTGATTAAGTCTGATGCCAATATTATGTACTGTGCAGTTGTGGAGCGTGATTGGCAATAAATACGGAATACCAAGAGCTTTACAATTATGGAATATTCTATATTTATGCACAAAGAAAAAGAATTGCTTATTTTCTCATGGTTTAACGAAAGGATATTTTCAACATGATAGATAAATAAACAGAGTGATGTCTTGTTATTTTATTCTCAGTGAACATGTCAGAAAACAGTGGGATAGAGATGACGAAAGCTGCTATTTTTATTGTACAAAGTGGAAAAAAGGTTTCTCAAACAGTGCAGAGCTAAGGACAACAGAAAATACACACACACACACACAAAAAAAAAAGNAAGCTTTAAAATTAAAAAACCTATTAAATTATTGAATAATTTATTAAATATAATTCGTCAGATTCTCTTGCGCTTCTTACTTTACTATTTGCGTGTTTTGTTTTAAATTTTTCTCAAATTTTTAATCACATTTTTATCTACAAACACACATTTTAATACAGGAAACTTAAATAAAGGACATAGAATTGAAATTTCTAAAGATCAATACTCGTAATGCCTGCATAAACTTAACATTTATCATGTAAATTTGCACAAAGTTCAAATATGTAGTCACATATTTGAACTTTTAATGTTAAAATTTTCAGGTTTATGACTTCAATTCACTAAACTAATTTAAAGTGGAAGCATTTTGCGGTTACGAAATGATACTAAATGATTTATCTTGTTCATCAAACAGCAGTAGAATGTTAAAATCAATTATTATATTAAATACAGTTATTTATGAATGTAAATTCTAACGAATTTTTTGAAAGAAATATTCAGAAAAACTGAAATAAATAACAGCTTAAACGTAAAATTCTAGCAAAGAAAGGGACAAAGAAACTACTAGAAAAGAGATTTAGACAGTTTTTCACGTCAGATAAATCAATCGCTTCAGAGAATGGAGAAGGATTACAAGATAATTCGTTAATCTAGGATGGAAGAAAACTGCTTCGAGTAAATATAACTTAACACGTTTTTTTGCCCTCTTTATCTCTGAGTAAACTTGTTACAAAATGTGTTTGAAAATCTTTTATTCTTTTAATTGTTGACTTCGCGCTCTATGATCATCAGAACATTTAATTATACCCATCATGTGTTCGGCCATGCCCACAATTGACGGCTGATAGATAGCGATATAGATTACTATCGAGAAATTTTTGGAGTTTTTGAGTGCCCGAATTTGACCCGGGTTCTCCAGAGCGGTTGGTTGATACCTAATCTCTTCGGCCATCCGGTTGTCTATGATTCAGTACAATTCTTGTTTTTTTATAATTCTTTTCCTCTGTGAGCATTAAAAGAGCCTTTCTTTACATTAAACAGAAGGTTGAATATAGTTAAGATCGCCTTGATATAATGGTGTGATGTAATTTTTTTAAACTTTAATATTTAAACTAGACACATTTAACTTAAATTTGGTATATAAAATGTTGTTTCTATAATTAAATAATTATATAAAACTTCATTTAGACAAAATATCTTATAAAATAGAAGATTTCTATGTATTTTTACAATTATTTTCGCATTTTAGACACTTAAAGGGTCTTTACTGTGTGTTCATTAATTTGGTCGGGACCACAGAGAAAGTCGAATGATTAAGAACAAAGACTGCAAATTCAGAGCAAATCAATCGTAAACATTTTTTACCAGAATTTAAACTCGAAACGAGCCAGATGAAAGCTTCGGCCATTCGGGTTTCATATTTCCTGCTCAATAGTATTTTTTAAAATACTTTCTCCGCCCTGTGGGCACTAAGAGGAATTTTTCTTTATTTATAGGTTTGGAAGTTCAACAATAGAAGATGCAGGGTAATGAGAAACGGGGCCCGGCATATCCGATACAGATCATCCGCGATAAGTTTCCGGAGATATTCCCTCTGTATGGTTTTCAAGTACTCAGAGCGGTAAGAGTGACTTCAAGGATAATTTTTAATTTATCTGTAAGCAATCGCTAAAAAAATCATATACATTTTTTAAAATTTGGTCAATTTTTAATGTGTTTAAAATATTTATGTATAAAAAATTTGATTGAAAAATTAAAAAATAACATTTTTTACCGTTTTGGCGCTGCAATCGGTAATACAAATAAAAAATTAATCTAAAGATATTAAAAAACTTAAAAATAGAAATTCCTTTTATTTTTGTTGTTTTAATATTTATTTTTATATCAAATGTATTAAAATAAAAATTAATTTGAAAAATATTTTTGATTTTCTTACAAAATTATTTAAAACTCCGAATTTTCGCTCAGCAGATAGCGAGTTGAAGGCGAGTTTGTATTCCAATGGAGTGAACCGATTCCCTTTTGGGGAGCACTCCTCAATTCTTCTTTTCACGTGGTATTTTTTAATATTTTCAGATTAAAAAATTATTCGGCAATATAAATTTTAAAAAATATGTTTTATTTATTTGCAATTAAGTCACATAATATGAAGAAAAAAATTATTGAATTTTAGCGTTTATTTAAATGAAACGAATCAAAATGATAAAACTTAAATTTTGGCGAAATTTTAAATCAATTAAAAAATAATAATAATTATAATTAAATGAGTTTGATTTCTGCTCATCAAAATTTTCATGAAATAATTATATTTCAGGCCATTATAGATTCCATATCGGATGCATCTTGTACAGCTGTAAAAATAAATAAAATAAGATTAATTTTAGTCAAATCTACAAGAAAAAAATAATGAAAGTAGTAAATATTGATAAAATTACTTTCTAAGAGAAACTCAATAATGTTTATCCCATAATATATTTCAATTCCTTGGCACTGAAAGATAATTATATTTATTCAAAATGCAAAAGTTTTAATACAGATAAACACAATAATTGCTTATTTTTTTTTCTTNTTCGAAATGAATGAAATTTGAGGATATGATACAATGCAGTTAAATAAGAGAGTTTAACAGGAATAGACCAAAACGCGCCATCGGTGGACCTGAAATTGTATTAAGATTTTATTCACTAATGAGTTCATTCTCAAGATTTTGATAATAGGTCACTTCTGGTACTGTTAAAGCATGCGAAACCTATCAATCTCAATGCATTTTACCTTGTGAAGAGAAGCGATATTATCATCATATGAAAAATTATATTCTAGAAAGTCGTAAAGGAACGTACTCCTAACAGTATGAATGCCAATTAGTATGACCGAATCAAACGAAAGGTGTTAAACGCAATTAGTAGAGACATTACAGTGGATTTAAGATTTGATCCTCTGCCAAAGTATAAGAAACATTAATGCAAGAGTGCATGAAAACGAAGATATTTGCAACACCATTTAACAATTCAGCACTCTTAATCTATTAATATAATGTTTTTTAAAGCACAAAAACGAAAATACAGTATTGAGCTCGCTTCCAGTAAATGCGGAGAAATTTACGTTTTTTCCATTTATTTTTATAGCCTCAGTGAGAAAACTGAGTCATCCTCCTCATCTTGTTATGAGAATCATGGACTGCGTTTTGATACTGTTCCATCGAAGATTACTTCCGGTGACGATAGATACCGAACATCACTGCGTCGTTCCGTCCTGGGAGGAATCGCTCAAGGTATGAGCACTTTCGATAGCCGATCATCAATTCCGGAATTTCATAAATTAATAAGAATTTCGAATCTACGCGCAGTTCATGTCGAGTACGAGTTTCCTACAGAATCTGCAGAACTTCGACAAAGACAGCATCGACGACGAGACGATAGAGCTACTGGCTCCTTACTTCCAAAAGAAAGATTATAACATGAACACTGCCAGGAGGGTTTGCGGCGACGTGGCAGGTCTTCTGTCCTGGACCAAAGCCATGGCTTTCTTTTATGGCATAAACAAAGAAGTCATACCATTGAAGGTAAGTTTCATTCGAAAAGATCGTTCTTTATTAATAATGTAATTAAAAGTCCGGATGGAGAATGACATTGTCCGTTTATTTCTCATCAGGCCAACGTGCAGATTCAGGAGGAGAGATTGCAAGTAGCCACCGAAGAACTAAACCGAGTCGAAGCCGATCTGCAAGAAAAGGAGAAGAAGTTGAGCGAAGTGAGAGCGCAGTACGAAGCGGCTCTAGCCGAAAAGAGGGTGAGTCTTTTCCACCTTTTCCATTTCTTTACAATCGGTTCGGAGGTCGCGAGTCCCCAACAAAATTAAACAAAAATTAATTATTGTTTAGCGTTCGTATATCGTTAGTGTTTTTCACAAAATGAAACATTTAGCTATTCGTTAGTCTTCATTTAATGATCGACACATAAATACAGTACATAAAACAATTAATTCTGTTTATATTTCGTATTATTCGTATTTAACATTAATTTATATGGGAAAATTTGTTTCGCTTAACGAGTGTTTTGCATTACGAGTAAGATTCTGGAATGAATTATGATCCTTAAGCCATGTTTCACTGTATTCATGCACTAAAAGGAAAACTTTGTCTTTCTATTGATTTAACATACTTATATTTTCTTATTTTTATTTTACATATTTGATTATTAAACGGCTTTGCTGATAAAACATAACGTTTCAAAATATTTTTATTAATATCCTCAATCATTATGCATTTATGTGAAGCGTGAACAAATAGCATTAGCTGTTTCTAAAATTCGCGCGAATTACTTTTTTGCAATAGTTTCTATAATCCTTCATTTATATAACGACAAGGACTTTTTTCATTTGGGGTTCATCATTTCTCTACACAGGAATCGATACTCCCCGCATCGCTAGGCATAGCGGGGTTTAAGTGGTAAGGATTGTAAGATGGGCAGAAAATAATTGGAACCGAATTTTACTTGTCTTTATGTATCTGGCATTCTTTATTCTTTCAGAGACTGGCCGATCGAGCGGAAGAATGTCGTCGAAAAGCGTCCACCGCCTCCGTTCTCCTTTCCGAGTTGGCGGGAGAATTTGAGCGTTGGTCGCTGCAGAGCGAACAATTCCGAGATCGCATCAACAGGTGAGCCAATGATGCTTTTCGCAGGGAACTGTGTTTTTCTCTTTAATTCTGTATCCATCTAGTAATTGGGGTTAAGATGGGACGGGACACATTGGAGCCAGGCGATTAACGAAAGCTTATCTTTGGATTCAGAGTGGCGGGAGACTCGTTGTTGGCCACGGCCTTTCTTTCCTATTCGGGACCCTTCGACCGGATCTTTCGATNTGTGTGTGTTGTGTGACCGGACTTCCATCACTGCACTGTTTGTCGCCCTCTTTGACTGTCCTCGACCATTCGTGTGGTCTCCTCGCCCACCTGGAGGGCTACTGTGCGGTTTTGTTTTTGTATATATTTTATTATATTGCATTACCACCTAGATTGTTACTGTAACACCTATGTTATCCTTTATTGTCACTTATTTTACACTACCATTTTGTGTGTTTTGTCTCCTGTGTATTACCACTGTGTATTACCATGTAATATTATTTATCTGTTTTCATTTGTACCCCTGCTATGTTTAACCATCCATGTATTTTATTATATTCTTGTCATATTCGCATCATCACAACTGTATTAGACATGTTTAGTACCACAATTTTCTGTAGTTTTAATTTATAGTTAGTACGTATCAAGTTCCATACTGTTACTATGTTTTCTGCAATTTATATATGTAACCCAGTGTCAATATTTGTAATCTATGTTTTGTATCCATGTATCCTACTGTTTTGTTTGAATTAAATGCGTTGCAGGACGCCCATGAAATTCATGGGCTTAGGCTGGCTACTTTCCTCTTTCCTATCTTACTATGCTTCACCTTCAGTCTTACCCCCTCTCAACTAACTTTAATCCTTCTTCCTTTTCTAGTCTACCCAGGGCTATACCTACTGGTCAGGCCCTTTCTCTCTGTCTGTTTGTCTGTCATTAGGGTTGAGTGTTCAGAACCCTGAGATTGACAATGGCAAAAATTACCGACACAGCCAGAGAGGCAGCAGACGGCATGTTTGCGCAATAATCACCCGCCACTTACTGGCAGTTTCCTGATGGAACCAGGAGCTGAAGATTTTTTAAGAAAGTGCAGTAGAGCACTCCGATTACGCTCTCAATATTGCTGTGACGATGATCACCTTCGGCGGACCATCGAAGGTGATCATCTTCCAGGAAAATGGAGTTCTAAAGGATAGAGGATTTGATCCCGGGATCTCGAAAATCGGGATCCCGACCACTTTTCAGTCCCANTAAAATACAAAAATTATTAACGAAAAATAAGAAAATAACAGAAAAATTATACATATAAATATCGATTTCTGTTCCATTCTCAATTTTAGGCCTTCGTTGTTATTGATCTCTTCAATGAATTCATTAATTTTTCGGTTATTCCTCCATAATATAAGGACATCGTCTACGTATACAGTATACTCCTCTAGCTTTTTAACCATCAACTCACATAGCATTCATGATAACGGATTTTTCCCTTTTTTGCCTGTATATCTGGCCGTTAAAGCTAAAGCAAGATTCCTAACATATCAGATTAGTTAGCTCTACTACCTCATTGTTGTAATGAATCAATTTGGGATTCTTAGTGATCATGGATTCGATTTTTATGGAAGGGTGTAACCTCTCGTAATCCAATACCGTTCCTAATTCCTCGTCCATTAATGATATGTCTTACATTTCCTTGACCACTATTCCAGGATCCCGTGTCGCTATATTGGCATTACAACTAGAAATTTGGGAATAAGGCTTAAAGAACACAAGTATAACGTCAGAAAAGGTTCCAACACAACAGTACTTTCCCACAAGAGGCTCGATAGTAAAATGGGATGAAGCGGTTAAGTCCGACCTCTCACGAGATACGACACCTGACACCCTTATATACAAACTATCGTGTCAAATTTCGTTTCTTAATGATTACCCCAGAATATTAATAGTCCTGAGATATTAAACGGAATAAACGCCAACACACACACACACACGTGGCTATTTTTGGTTCGTTTTCTTATGTTATCTTGTATAAACAGTTTTGCCAGCTGTTACCTTTTACTTGGAAGTTTTCTGTGTCAAAATTACTAAGTTATTGCTCATCGTCCCGACTTTTAATGGCACTTTTCCGGTTTTATATTGAAATTGCCTTGTATTTTCCGCAATAGAGAAAGAATAAAGTGACGAATGACAATTTTCTTAGGCTCTGGAAGAGGAAAGACGGAGAGTGACGGAAGAGACGGCCGATAACGCCGTAAAGATAAGAAAATTAGAGGACGATCTTCTGGGACGTCTGGCCTCCGTAAAGGTATTTTCCTGCTTTATTATATATTTTTTTCTAGTTGAATTCGGTCGGTAAGTGTTCCTGGTATCTGAGGAAAAAAGAAAACAAAGAAATACATGGCGTAGTACCCTATGGGTTCGTTGGAACCACTTTGGGAAACATCGATCAAACTCCTTTTAGGGGAAAATTTTTGAATTGAATAATGTGATTTTCGGTTTAAACCGGGAGTTTCTACATATTTAGCCCCCATGTTTTCCATATCGGGTCTCGGTTTTCACCTATCTAACTCCGTTCTCGAGATTAAGGAAGGACACACAGACGGACGACAGTTGGAATTTATAGGTATACAATTTTTTTAAATTGCAGCCCAACAACGTTTTTCATCCACGGTAACTCTGGAAAAACCGTGCAAAAGATCGAATAATGAACGGGATGGCGTGTTTTACGTTAGCCTCTACTTTTATTATTATACAGTGGGATCGTGCAAGACCAACGATTAAATGTTATGCGTAGATCGGCCTTTAATGAAGTGGGGATAAATATAATTGGATGTTGTGTCTTTCCTTCCGTAGGGTTCGTTGCTGGACGACGACTGTCTCATCGGAGTGTTGCGGGACGCCCGGAAGACGTCGCGGCGCGTGTCGGAAAATCTGGCCGCTGCCGAGGATACCCGGAAAAAGATCGACCGGGCCAGAGAGGAATTTCGTCCGGCAGCCGCCAGAGGCTCCCTGCTTTACTTCCTGTCCGAGGAAATGGGACGGATCCTCTTCGCCTATCGGATGTCTCTCGACCGCTTTCTACGACTGTTCGACCTGTCGCTCCTTCGGTAAGTTTCTTTTCTCGATTTTTATGGTTGTTTCCCTTCGATGATCTGGCGATGTCGCCCCTTTTGATATCCATTGTTACCTAGTTCTAGAGAACCAATGAACATTTTGTCTATCCCTCTACGAATCATCGCTTTGTAGTTTGTTTACAAAATGACGAAAATCAGCCATCACTATTGTGTAGCTTATAGCTTCGTGTACATCTTACGATCGGGTTCACATTCATGACTTTTGGATTTATCTAGGTCCGAGAAAGACGCCTCCACCCCCCAAAGGGTGACCAACGTCGTTCGCTGCCTGACCCTTCAGGTTTACCGGTTTTCGGTTCGAAGTTATTTCGAACGTCATAAGTTCCGGTACTCTTTCCTTTTGGCCCTGAAGGTAGCTTCCACCCGAGCAGAAATCTCACCGGAGGAATTAGCCCTTTTCGTCCGAGGTAAATTCCGGTTTCTTCTTTCCTTCGACTTTTTCTTTCTAATCAAAATCTCCGCCTCCATTTCCAGGGGGAGAAACTTCGGACTCCTACGGCCTGCCGGCCCAACTCGGCGACTGGATTCCCGAAAACTCTCGGAGCCACCTGGCGCGTCTGACTCGACTGCCGGGGTTCGAAGACCTGACCTTTCAGGTAAGGTGCCTTCGCTTGTTCCGATTCCTGTCTCGCAGAAGTTTAATTCGGACCGACCTTTTCTACCGGTTACGTTCTTCGTTTTCCGGTTTCGAACGATATTCGGGAGTTATTTTTTTACAATTTATACAAGTTACTTATATAAAACGAATCGGATTATACGGAACCGGCCGGCAGGAATTGTCATAAACGAATCATAAAGGTCGGGAATCAAATTAACCTCACTTTTCGTCGACAGATAGGGCGAGAAGAAGAGGCGTGGCGCCGTTGGTGGCGGAAGGAAAAGCCCGAGGAGGAGGAGACACCCGACGATCGACTCCGAAAGAGAAGCGACTTTCAGAAGTTACTGCTGGTCCGCTGTCTTCGTCCCGACCGCACTCCCGACCGGGCCCGAATCTTCGTCTCGGGTAAGCGATTCTTTACTTCGGAGATAGAGAACCTCCTCGCTAAACGAGGATAGCTTAATGCGCGCAGAGAGTAGGACTAATTTATCTAATTGTCGTCTTAATTGTAAAGTATTAACTTTACAATAAACGGCATATTAACCGGGATCATACCTATACCTCTTCTCATAAATGACGAAGACATTCGCCTTGTACTGTACATTACGTCTAGCTGTAAAAAGAAACTGTACGAACGAAGTGGTACAACCAAAACCCGAAGAAGTCGAATATTTTATGTCTTTAAGACACAGAGAAATAATGCCCATACGATCGATTTTTCCATTCTTCTTCGTGTTTCGGAAGTTTCTCGTTATTGTATTATTAATGCCATCTCCATTATTTTAATTTAGTAACATCAATCCCCCTATTACACAAACCTCCCTGCAAAATTTCAGAAATTTTCGACAAAAAGCACGGGAGTTATTAAGCTTTAAAGTGGGTAAACAAAACGTTCTCCCCCCACACACTAATATACGGGATTAAAAAAAAGAAAAAGAAATTTTTTGCATTTCACCAAATATATTTCCACTCTTCTAAATAGAAATTTGTTTTTTCTTCCCAAGACGTTCTGGGCAAAGAGTACGTGGAAGGAGTCGCCTTAAACCTGGAATCGACCTGGGCCGAGTCGGATCCGACTACTCCGCTTCTTTGTTTGCTGTCGACCGGTGCCGATCCCACATCTCAGATCGAGGAATTAGCCAAGAAACTCAAGTTAGGTAAATCCTTGGTCCTTAAATTTAATCTTAATGATATCTTACCTTGACGCTCAACCATCGTCTTTAGAATGTAGGCAATTATCCATGGGACAAGGACAAGAGGCGCACGCTCGACGTTTGCTGAGGGACTGCGTGGTCGAAGGACGTTGGTTACTGCTGCAGAACTGTCATCTGAATATTCCATTTAGTGAGGAAATATCAAATATCTTGGAAGAAATAGGAATTCCTCATACTCGTTTCCGGTTGTGGATGACCACGGAAGTCCACCCGCAATTTCCTCTTAACATCTTGCGAGTGAGTCATCTCATCTTTCTTTGACTGAATTTCTATGTCAAGTTTTTTCGTCTTCGTTGCTATTTCATAATTTATTTTGTAAATTTCGTGGTTTGTTATTTCAAGGCTTCAATCAAGTTTACCAACGAGCCTCCGGGAGGCATCAAGGCTTGCATGAAACGTCTCTTGGCTAATCTACCCGACGACACGATCAAAGACGGAGAAATTCCCTCCTGGAACCGGATTGTGTTTGCCGCCGCTTTCTTCCACGCCTCGATACTGGAACGGCGCAAATTCGGACCCTCCGGCTGGAATGTTCCTTACGAATTCGATCGGGCCGACTTCGTGGCTTCCGTCCAGTTTCTACAGAAACAACTGGAAGACTCGGACCCCCAACAGGTGAATAGAACTTCCGTTTGACATTCTGAGTCGCTATTATCAATTCGTATCGTTCGTTTCGTAGGAGATCTGCTGGAAGTCGGTGGCGTACGTAATAGGACAAGTACACTACGGGGGGAGAATTACCGATGATTTTGATCGTCGATTGCTCATCACCTACACCGAGGAGTGGTTTCGTCCTTGGCTTCTTAGGCCGGACACTCTGTTTCGTTCCGGCTATTCTCTTCCTTCCGACGGATGTCGAGAAGAAATGCAGCGCACGCTCGAGGCATTGCCCGACGTTGACACTCCGGATGTCTTTGGGTTAGATGCCAACGTCGATGTTGCGTAAGTACTTCCGTTCCTGTCTTTTCTTCCGAATTGGCGTTATCTCTAAATCTTAATTTATTAGCGACTTCTAAATGTAAACAGAGAAAACAAAATACTTTCACTTGTACGAGGACCCTTTGTTTTGTTTTTCAGGTATCGGACGCGAGAGGCTCGAGCGCTCTTCGACGCCGTTGGAGGGATTCGGCTCCCGAACTATCGCGCGGGACAAGAAGAGAACCGTGAAGAAGAAATCCGCCGACGAGCCGAGGAGATTCTGAACCGATTACCTGTTGATTACCCACCCGAGACGGTGAGTTATTTCTATCATTAGACGATCTTCTCCTCCTCTTACCGTCGTTCTCGTGCAGGCGTCAGATTTTTCCGTCCATCGCCTTTCGCCCATCCGACTCTTTCTGCGCAGGGAGGTAGACCGGATGACGCTTCTGTTGAGGATTGTACGAGTCGACCTTCGACGAATAGGATCGTCTGTTCCGGAAGATCTGCGGTCTCTCTTCGTTCATCGAACGCCCGTCTCCTGGAAAACGGTGAGCATCCCTAAATTTTCCCCAGACGGTCCGATTTAAATTACGTTTTCGACAGTGGACGTTATGTATTATTTATTTTTTCCATCGAATGGAAAAATTAAGCTTTTTTAAGTAGTAACTTCTATTCCGAAATTTCTATTCCGTCTTTCGCAGATATCTTGGGAAACGGATGCCCTGGGGTCGTGGTTGGTGGAATTGGAGGAACGAGATCGACAATATCGGAACTGGTTGACGGGGAAAAAGCCAAAAGTCTTTTGGTTTCCGGGATTTTTCCACCCCCGAGGTCTACTTACTTCTATCAGACAGGTGAGTTCCGTCAATCTACTATTTTTCTACTCTGCGATCGGTCTGACGGTCGGATTTCACATTACGCCGCGTAATTTTCGGCAACACTTAACCTCGAGACACAGGCATCTTGTTTTAACTTTCTTTCTGGCCAAACTCTTAGATAATACTATGGTCTTAATAACATTAGACTTATAAATCCCCACTGTCAACCGTCTGTCTCTTTTTAATCCCGAGAACGGAGTTATATAGACGAAACCCGAGACCAGATATGAAAACCGTAAGGGCAGGAGATCCCGATTATTTATTTTAAAATTTTTCTCCTCTAAGTTCCGGCTTACTCGGCCATTCGGAAATTTTCTGTATTACGGAGTTGTGGCATTATGACCAAACTCCGTAATACAGAAAATCGGGAATTACTCTTCTCTAAGGCACCACTTCTCGGAAGATCACTTGTGTTTTGAGATGTTCTATATTATCAATCTTTATCATCTATTTTTGGATAACAGATCTATTTTTAGAGGAAATATTTCTAATTTGAACCAAGAAATTGCCAACATAAAATCGGAACTACTAATTTCTCAGAATAAAATAAAAAAATTTGGAGCAAATATCATATAATTCTATGATAAAAATCGCAGAAGTACTGCAGAAAGACCCCCCTCAGCCAGATCTTTAAAGTAAAAACGTTTTAACTGAAAAACCAAAGATTCCTGCAGATCGAAGACTTTTTTCTGCATACTTAAAATGTAAAAAAATATATTAAACGATAATTGATATACACCAAAAAAAGAGGAAACATATATAGGAAGAGGGGAAGTAAATTTACGTTAGCTATTAATGCATTTGTATGTTTTTTTTCTGATTTTCATACGCTTTTTGTTCCTCTGTTGTTTGTTTACTTTGTATTTTTGTGGCACTTAAAAAAGGCCAAATGGCCACAGTGTCTTTTGAGATTAAAGATTAATTATGTACGTAGGAAACTAACTTATTGAAAAATATTCTCAGGCAAAAGTGGAGAATACGTTTTCGTAGAAAATGTACCTAAAGACGTAAAAGTTTCTTACTTAATTGTTATTTACAGTCAATGCCTATGAGTTTGTGATGAGAAAGGTATGGACTAGATAAGAAACTCTCAAAAATAGTCAGTAGTTTACTTTATTAGAGGGATTGATGACATTAAATTTTGAAGAATAAAGATCGAAGAGGTGAGGAGATAAAGAAGCTCGAGTGTATCTCCAGTAGGGTCGGACTTAATGATGATTTTACTCATTATTATCATTTACAATTTTTTTTTTATAAAACCCATCCCAACCTTCAAAATTAAGCTTTCTGTTATTTTATAATAATTAAAAATACACCAAGTTTTTAAATATCATAACAGATGGCGCCGTACACGCAGTTTTAAATTTTGCCGGAAAAGTTAAGCAACTCGTTGCTGAGGGGTTTTTTTTTCATTTTTCTAAGCATTTAATCCGGGTTATGTTTTTAATATTTACTAGCTTAGCGCAGAATATTTATTGCCAAATTAATTGAACTCACTTGTCAGTTGTTCATTCACCCGAACGTTCCTACGTAGATACTTTTATGATTGAAAACTACAAGTTCCAAAGTTTTACATTAGAGAGGTTGCGGCCGAAGTTTTCATCTGTAAAACGTGAACGTCGAACGTCGAGCATATTAAAATTAACAACAAACATTTATAAATTTTTTTAGTTTAAAATTAAATTTTTTATATGATAAGATGCTTTTATAAAGGGAAAAATGATCTCTCTACCTTTACTGTACAAAATGTGGCATACTTAAATAAGCTAATACAATTATAGTTTAACATATACTCGAATGTCTCTAGTGCCATAATTTTGTACCTTTATTTTTAGCAATCACATTTATGAATTTCTCAAAAACTTCAGCTCTTAAATCGGTGATTCACCTTTCTGAGGCTGTGTAACGTCATTCGTATACTTTATATTACGCGGAGTATTAACATTAATATCGAAAATCGATAAGCAATTCCGTGTTTAATATTCTCGGGAAACAACGAAGCAATAAACTAATAAATATCGTTGTACTGAATAAAATAGAAACATGGAATTGTCTACGAATAAAATAATATGTTGTAATATTTACCGCGTATGGTACTTTAAAAATATTTCGTCGGATCTATCCTATTAGTAAATTCAAGGCCGTTATTAATGACAATAATAAGCGGAAAGAGTTTCGTTTCAGGAGACGTGCCGGTCGCACCCGGGATGGGCCTTGGACGCCACCATTCAGAGGAACGAAATCACCCGTATGGATCCCGAAGAAGTAACGGAAGCGGCTACGGACGGCGCCTATGTCTGCGGACTGTACCTGGAAGGTGCCAGTTGGAACCGAGAAACTAACCGCCTGGCCGATTCGCTGGCCGGGGTGCTTTTTTTTCCTCTTCCCGTCGTCCGGGTATTCGCCACGGAGGGAGAAGAACGAGAAGAAGATCCCGGACTATACGAGTGTCCCGTCTATCTTCACCCAGAACGGACTCGCTCATCCTTAGTCGGAACCTTGGATTTGACCTCCGATCGTAAGATCTCTCGCTGGATCCTGAGAGGTGTGGCCTCGCTCTGCCGTACTAATCAGTAATATATCCTACTTCCCTCAAACGGCTGGCGAGGTTTTCGACACCGAAGAAGGGAAAAGACTCGTTGGATTAGATTAGTCGAAGCTCTAAGCTCTTTTAGACGTTACTTCGGCCCCGTCTTTTTATACATCCCCTTCTAGAAGTACCAAGAGAAAGGAGGCCTTGACTCCGAGTAATTCCATTAAACGATAATGAACTATTGATTTTTGTAAAATTTGTACAAATTGCGTAGAAAAAGAAAACAATTTAAGATTAATATTGTGGGATATTTTAGGAGCGAAGAATATATAAACGAAATTCCGTTTAGAAAATGGGAAAATGGCGACTTTCCTACGTAATTGCATTTTATGACCCACGACTCCATCTTTGCGTTTTCATGCAATGGCCTAAGAAAAACGTTGCTTACCCCAATAGAGAGAAATACAATAAAATACATCACGAAGAAACATAAACAAAGTACCAAAACGACAGATTATCTGTTTACAGGTGTCTATTGTTTTTGTACTTTGTTTTGTTACTATAGACCTATCTGTTTATCTAGAGTTTGATATTTATTCCATTGTAAAAACTGTATAATCGAGTATTTCGGAATAAAATCTATAAAAGTCCGATCGTCGAGAGAATAATAAACTGATATTTAGTCGTTAAAACTAGAATTGTTACTAGTGTGGTAAGGATTTATATAAAATAAAAAATTAACCAGTTCCTGGCTAGTTTACTATACGTAGTAAATGATGTTACGGAACCTCCGTGTTTATATTTGTTTTAGAAAATAGATCATACGTAGTTATTATTTTATACGGAAAATAATTGACTACTTCGTTATTTTCTATGAAATAGTGAGAAATAATTAGCTAATATAATATAAACAAATTCAATAACATGCTGTATATGAGACGGAGCGTTAGCGAATCCTCTTCTAAGAGACTTATAGAATTGTGTTCGTTCTCAAAATCCCTTCGATAGATTTTGATTAAACTTTACCATTTTCTATTAATTGCAACGACGAATCCAAAAATGCAATAAAAAATGGGGGTCCATGTCTTCGTTTTCGAGATATAAGGTCGTTTCACGAGCGGGCGCGACAAAACAATGTCGCACGAATATGTCATCGAAAAGTAAGGATAATATTTTGGAAAATGTAACAAAAATATTAAAATCGAGAGAGGGCCTCGATTATTTTGTCGGGTAAAATCTATGTGTATTTCAACGAATAATAATGAATTAAGAAATTACACTAGTATAATAAGTCCTATTAATTAATAAGGTCTAAATAGACAATATAAAAACAAAGTAAAATAGTAAGGATATAGGAGTACAAAGAATTAATGATGAAATTTTGGCTGCTACGGACAATACGGTTAAAAATAGAAGGATCCTCATCAAAATTTAGTGAAATTAAAGGCGGTGTCGACAAAATAATTACTTAAATCTAAATAAATCTAGTAAAATAACGCGGTACATTATACGAATTATTATTAAAAAAAAACAGTAGATGAGTTTTGTTATATAAAATATATAAGTAATCAGGACAACATTAAGAATCTTGTAGTCTCTAAACATATTTATTCTATTATATACTAAAAAAATTGATATTAAAAAAATCCAGCAACGAGTTACTTAACTTTCCCGGCAACTTTTGATGGTGCCATCTGTTATGATATTTTATTAAAAAGAATTGTTTATATTTTTAATTATAAAATGGCAAAAAAACCTTAATTTTAAAAGTACGGGTGGGTTTTATAAAAAATTGTAAATGCTAATAACGAGTAAAATTGTCATTGTCTGACACTACGTACGACTCTCTTTATCTCCCCACCCCTTCGACTTTTAATCACCAAAATTTGTTAGTATCGTTTTCATTAATATACAAACCCCCCTGCAAAATTTCAGAAATAGTCGAAAAAAGGCACAGGAGTTATTAAGCTTTAAAGGTGAACAAAATCGTGTTTCCCCCCAAAGGTGAACAAAATCGTGTTAGTTGTAGATTATAAATAAAAGTAAATATGAGAGAAAACATACAAATTTAACTAGAATGATATAATTACTATAAACAAGAAAAAAAGGAACGTGACAATAAATTCTGCGTGAAGATGCAGTGTCTTGCTGCGAGCTTGAGCAAGGATCAGTTATTTGCAGAAAGTAGTGAAAGTTTGCCAAGTCTTCTGACCAGCCTTATGAAGGTTAGGTAAGTCTCTTTGGTCGTGAATATGTCACTAAAGTTGCATGGCCAGGTTATGTTCAAATCTTCAATTAGAAGTTTTAATTCTATACGTTCTTTTTCTAATGTCACACACTCGAAAATATAATGGGTGCTGCTGTCTCTACTTGGCAGACAGGACAAAAGTTTGAGTTTCTATTAGTGAATCTGAAAAGATAACTAGCGAATTTACCGTGGTTAGTAAAAATCAGAATGGTGTGGTAGCTAGGTAAAAACCAATTTAAAGTTAAAAAATGATTGATGTCAGGGATATACATTATTTAAAAATTACACTATTGTTATTACGGTTCCAAGTGTCTTGCCAAGTGTGTATTGTTTCCTTCCATAGGAGACGTCTCAAAGTTTGTTTGCTAATCTTATTGTATATTATTGGTGTAGAGTTGTCACTGGCCAGATGGTCAGCCCACTCATCAGAGTTAGTGTGGCTTATTTTGTTGGAACTGCCAGGACAGGTCGTAGAGTAAAAAGGGCACGATTTCTCCAGTTTGTCCTGCTCAAAATTTCATTGCCCTTGTCATTATTCAGATTAATGTCGTTTCCTCACATTGCTAGACGAAGTTTTTCATAGAGTGTGATAATTAAATCCACGGGAGGTGTTCTAGCGATGACCTGTAAGCTCTGGTTTGGAGCTGTGTGGAAAACTTTGGTTATGGGTATGAAAGCTCTTCTCTGAGATGAGATCAACTTTCGTTTTATACGGACTTTACTTGTGATCCACTCCCAGGTGTCACGAGCGTAGGTAACCACAGGTAAGTAATTTATCATAAATGACACTCGTGGCGCCAGCAGAGAGGCCCAGTTTTTTCTTGCCAGTTGCGCGAAGGCTTGCATAATCAGCCTGGTGCGCTTAGATATATACTCAATGTGAGGATTCCACAGGAGGCGAAAATCAAGAATAACCTTCCGGTATTTAAGGGTTTTTTTCGATTGTAATGGTCCTTCCGTTCATCTTTATATGGGGTACACGTAAGTATAAATTTGATTGGCCCGGTTTGTTGAATACTATCTCCTTCGTTTTTTGAAGATTGAATTGTAATTTGTGTTTTGTGCCCCAACTGAAAATTTCGCTGAGCATTGCATTTCCTTTGTGCTCGAGATCAGCCCTTGAGCGGCTCTCAGTAGCATCAAAACGTCATCGGCAGAAGTAACAGAGTAGGATTGGCCGAAATTTTGATTTAAAAAAGTGTTAAAGGTAATATTCTACAGAAGTGGTCCACAGACCGATCTCTGTGGGCATCCCATGGTAATTTGTTTGGAAGCATGGTGCTGACCGCAGTGTAAAATGGCATTCCTATTTATTAAGTAATCCTGAAACAAGTTGAAAATGTTGGAGGGACAGTTGATTTTTCTCAATTCCCCGAGTTGATTTTTCTCAATTCCACGTATGTGCTCGGGGTCAAGACTGACCCCGAGCACATACGTGTGGGTTTTTAGTAAATACTTAACTGTACTAAAGGCCTGGTGAATGGCATTCTCGGCCGAACGCTGTGGCCTGAAGCCAAACTGGGTGTCGTTAATGAGTTTGTTGTGTTCCACAAACCAAGAAAGTCTGGTGTTGATCAACCTTTTCAATATTTTCCCCAAGACGGGTAGGAAGAAGATTGGTCTCGTATCATTTTAAGACCCAGGTTTGAGCACAAGAACTATCTTCGCTACCTTCCAGATCTCAGGAAAGAGTCCGTGGTGCAGGCAGGCATTATACTGTATATGTCACTAAGTTTTTGTGGGACCATGTTCCAGATCTGCATGGCAATTTCATTTGTTAGCGGACAGATTCATAGAAAAGTTTTCCTAAGAATATTTCCAATCCTTTCTCACACAAGAGAAAATGGGTTAGGGGACGTTGGGTATAACTTTATGTAACAAAAGGAGCGGGGGATCGAAAAAGTTTGGGAATCACTGATCTAATTGATTGCCTTTTAATTTTATTTTAACCATTAATATACTTAAATCAGGCCTGGCCAACCCGCGGCCCGTCACATTAAATTGTGTGGCCCGCTAAGCGATATTATATATCTATTAAAACTTTCGTTTTCTATTTTGTATATACCAAAACAATTAAATAAATGAAAATTTGCATGTGTCATTGTTATAATGCACAAGTGCGAGTACGAACTCTTGATATAACAATGAAATCTTATTCATTTTGTATTTGTTTTACTTTTTTAAAAGCATGTTTGCCTAAATTGTGGCCCATTGTAATGTTACGAATGTTATGTAATGATCAAAGTGGCCCGCGAAACAATTTGAGTTGGCCAGGCCTGACTTAAATAATAATTCTAAATCAGTTCGGCCTAGGACAAACTAATTAAGCCTAAAGTATTTAGGCCAAACTAGATTGCACCAGACTAATCTAGTATATCCTGACACGCGTAGGATACACTAGTTTGGCCTGCATTCGTGTTTGGCCGGTAACATATACAAGAATCAGAGTTGTCGATTTTCGGAGGGTCAATTTCTCCGTCCCCCAAACGCCTGTAATAATTTTGAATATCATTAGAAAAATAATTGTTTTCTTAGTACGCAAAATTTCAGCTTTTTCAATAAAGGAATAATAAAGCTATATTTTCTTCTTGTTTTCTTCGTCCAACAATACAGACGCCCCTAAAAAGAGAGAAAGAAAAAACTACAGGGTCCAAAGTTCAAATTTTAAACTTAAACGTTTCCTGTTATCAGTGAAACTTCCGAATCGATGTGCCAAAGTTCACGGGTGTTTCCGGTATAGCTATTTTACAAAGCCTTTAACTCTTTCCGCCCTGTGGGCACTAAGATGGTTTTTTTTTTAGTAAGCCCATTATGGGTTCGGCCAGGCCCACAATGGTGTGGCCTGGTACTGCAGTATCATAATCACCGAATGAACCCTTGATTCCCTTTGCATTCTTGCTGGTATAAGGGTGCTGTGTAAAAATTTTGTACTCTTCATGCTCAGCATAGTCAAATTCTACAATACGTACTGCGAATCAGCTTTAAGTAATAGTAATTTCTCTGTAATATCAGCCATTACAGAAAGGCGAACCGATTCACGTAATATTACGTCGTTTGCGCAGTCTTTATTGTAATATTGAAAACTTTATATTGTGAATGTAAAGTACAGATTATTACCGTATATTTGTATACGATAGTAAATTTGAAATCACCGTAATTTGTTAATTATTTTATAAGAATTTTCTAATATTTATCCCGGTAAGAACGAAAGTGAATTTGTGTGGCTCCGCCTGGCGTGTCGAGTTAAAAGCCACGTAATTTATAGATGGCGCATGCTCCTTCGCCTTGCGTGTCGTTTTGGAGGAACCGTTCTTCTAACTAGAAGACTGCGAATATTGCGTCGGACCGACGATTCGGTATAAGATTTTCTTTTAACTTGATTATTAACTTTAAACGTAATCGTCTACGCGTCACCATAAATTTCTTTGCCCGTTTACGTACCGATTAAGCCACACGTTAAGCCAAGTTAGGCTTAACGTGTGGCATTTAAATGTTTGGCATTAGGTTAGCCTTTGACCCTCTTTCTGTCCACCTTACCCCCCAAAATATGGTCTTTGGTCATTCGTCCATTCGATTTTCGATAGATCCGCGTTGTAATTACCAACTGCTGACGTCGTTTTCCATCTCACGTACAAATTTCCTCCTTTATCTCCGTCCATTTAATAGTTTATCCTACGAACTGTCTCGACATTCCGAGCTTAATCAGCTCGTACAGAAATAATTGCATATTACATTCTGTTTATATGTGTTAAATGAAACGTTCGAGGACTCCCTAAATCAATTTACTTTAAGGCTTTTCGATTGTGTTTGTCTCCGTGTTGTGTAATCGCGTAGTTCGTAATTTCGTGTTTTCTAATCCATCTGGATCTTTTGTTTTTGGTAACTTGAGTGACCGGTTACGTGAAAGACCAGAAATCGATGTCTTTTCGGCCGAATTTGGTCTTGGAACCCATGTGGTGGTCTACGTTGCGAAGTGACGGAGATCTCGGATGTTTTTCGGTGGAGAGTCTCGTGCTCGCTCCGACCAGAAGTCGTTTGCTTCGGCATCTCTTCGAGAATGCTGTTTTCGTCTCGACGACGGTGGCGATTCTTGGACGTGATCTCTTTCTCTCGTTGCGGCCGGATCGAGGGTGCCGGAATTGAACTTGGCCGTGGAACCTCGGTCGTGATGGAGTAGTGGCCGTACGTCTTATTTATAAATATTTGCATTCGATTAAAATGAGACGGAGCGGGCACTTTCAAACACTACTACTGCCTGAAAATGAGATTTCTTCTAAGAATACATAATTATATTATTGTTTTGGGAAGTTTGATTTTTAAGGATATTGTGCATTCAATTTGAGTCTAGAAAAAGATTAAAAAATTTGTTTGAGATAAGTTGTTGTTAGTAAGTCCATTTACTCCATTAATTAAGCTTACATTTACATACAAAAATGCTGAAAAAATTTCAAGAAGCCAGAAGTTATTTTTAGATTAGTATTTGGGATAAATTGTTCTTCAATTACAAAAAAAAAACAAATTAACAGTGAATGCTTAAAAATATAAAATCAAGGATGTTCTTTAATTGTTTAGAATTAGAATTTAATCTATTCAAAGCACACTGTTTTGTTTAAGAATATAAGTCTTTACATTTAAAAAATATGATGTTGGTTTACTTTTGTTTTGATCTGAATATGTGAAAATATTAATCTAATGCTTTTGGCTCCTTTTCAGCATTTTGTAAATATATGACCAAAAGACCTGAATACAATCTGGATTGGAAGTATTGTCATCAAGAGAGAATAGTAACCTGTAGTTATTGATTACTCGTGTATTTTTTTTTTTGTTACATAATAACTCTTAGTATTTTTAATATTTACAGTATTTGACTAATGAAGTTGTTTAGTTCTAAGCAAACAAGCACAGTTTATTACATTTTTTTTTTTCCGTAATCTGCATTCAGAAATCCTACATTTTCATTTTAAATTATTGTTAAGTTTAAATTATTCAGTTTGAAACTAATTTTACATAATCAAAGAGTTATTTTTCTCTTTATAATTTTTTTAATATATTATTCAGGATTAATTTAAATTTAATAAAATTTGTTTTGAGAGCATGTTATCTGTGTTGGTAGGTCATATTAATTTTTTCTGTCCCAATACTTTTATATACATAAAAAAAACTATTTTTAATTATTTTTATACAAATAGTTGTCAGACCAGTGATATAGTGGTGACCTAAGTTAACAAATATTTCACTTTTTTTCTAAAATAATTATAAGTGAAATTATTGCACTTGTTAATTATTTAGATTAAAATAATTATTATTGCTGCTTAGATTTTCAAATAAGAACTATAGAAAATGACTACTAAATTCTCCAGAAAAGTAGCAACAAGAGAGTTATATGCTATAAGTCTAACGAGCTGATAATGTAAAATTACTGACAGTTTACAGTTTGAAAAAGACACAAAAGTATTGTGTTAAAAAGAAAGATTTAGAAGACTAGATTAATACAGTGAGTTCTTAATTTATGCATGTTTAAATTATGTGACTAATAAAATAATGTGTGGCAAAGTATCTTTAAGGAAAGTATCAAAAGAAGGCAGAATGATAACTTACCCCCTTTTTTTGTAACTTTCCGTTTTCTCATTTTGCTTTGTAGAAGTTTGTCTATTGCTCATCTATTGGAAATTCTTTGTTTTTTACTTTCATACTCATTTTAGTTATTTATTTTTCAATAGGGATTTCATAGCTAGGATGCAGTTCTTCTCTTAGGCTTATTGCATGTTTTAGTGACTATTTGTTTGAATTTAAATTGAGTGAGACTTTCTGGAACATAAACATGTCACTGTTTTTGAATTTTTAAATGAGAGTTTCTGAACAGTTCAGCAGAATTGAAATCAATGTTTTTTCTAAGTTATATGTAAATCCATGGTTCACACAAATTTTGTAAGTAGTGTACAAACTAAATTGAAGTACTATACACACAAAAAATAAATAAAGTGACTTAAATGTTTTTAGTGGCCCATGAATGATACATGACTTTCTACTTTTGGTGAATTGAATTCTGGATAAATTAGGATTAAATAATACAAGTGGCTTGACTTCTTAACTTGATAATCTTTATTATTTGTTATGCTATTCAATACACCGTACTACTAAATTGTTTTGAAAGTATTTTCTAGATTTCTGAATCTCAGAAATTGTAATTTGTTCCTTGGACTTCAGACACACTGTTTTTTTAAAATTCTTTGAATTCCTGCTACTTGAAAAATAGCTTTATGAAAATTAGTTTTTAATTACATTTATTATATTTTAAAACATTTTGTAATTTTAATACAGTTAATTTCAGTTAAAATGGCAGATATAAGTACACAAATACATTAAAATTCAGGTTTTGATAAAAATAATAAAAACTTTTATAACAAATGTAATTTTAAATTGATGCATACAAAGTAAAAATTTAAGCATAAATTAAATAAAAACAAAAAATAACAAAAATTTTATTACATATTATTAATTACATACAACAAAAAAAAAATATAAAACTTAACACATATCAAATACGAACAAAATATTTACATTGAACCAGTGGCAACTCAGAAAAAAATGATGCATTATCATATATAATACAAATAATTATATTGCTATGTTACGTCATTCTAAAAATATTTTTCTCTCATCATGGGACAATTAGAGGTTTACAAGAAGTATAAAATTAGGTTATATAAAAGTGTTAATATATTAAACAAGTGGTGTACTGTACATTTTCCTAAAAGCAATGAACCCCAGTGTCCCTATCCTGAATCTTTGAATAGATAATACAATCTTTTTAAATATCCAGTATAAAACTTTTACTAAATGAATGTTTTTGTGCTCCAAAATTAGCTTTTCTAGCAAATTTATTTGAACATCTTGCAAAGGAAGGAAAAATTTCTTATCATCATCATCAGATTTGGTGCTTTTGAAGGAAAAAAAAATTATAAAATTAAATTATGCAAATCATGTGGACATGTTTTGTTAACTGCAAAAAGAAGTTTTAATAATAAAATTTCAGAATTAATAAAATACACTAAAGCTCAACGTACACGAAGTGCACGCAGCTGACATTTCTTGCCTGAAATTGTCATTTATGACTAAAATTCTCCATTCTACCTTTTATAAAGAATTATGCTTCCATCTAGCAGTGTCTGTAAACATGACTGTGTCATAGAGAATAAAAAAAATTGAATTTTTATGATTGCAAATGTGAGGCAGATCAATCAACTTAAAACATTATTTGACATGCACAATATAGCATGCAGTAATATGGGCATTTTAAAATATGCTGTTTGCATGAACAATGAACTATTGGATGGAAATTTGAACAATAAATTTGTATAAAAGTCTGAAATTGTATTATTATGAAATAAGATTTGAGAGAGAGGTGCTTACAAATACTTGAGCCATTAGTAAATTACTTTAAATATAATGAAGATTTGTCCAGAATAGAATATAAATGATCATTTTGCATCGGTTGTATACTATATTCCTTTTTATTTATATAGTAGAACAAATAAAGATTAAAGTATTTCAGAGATCAATTTTCTGGGGAATTTGTTTATTTTTAACAGACTTTTCCTCTATGTATATGATTATTTCAAATGCACATGCTCACAAACTTTGTTGTTACGTTTAGACAGTGGACAGAAAGGTTCAAAGCCTCTTGAATACATTTGATGTAAATGTTTACAGTGCAAACAAGAGAAGTATCCATGAGAAGCTTGACAGACTTAGTAGTATAAAAGCCAGAGAACATGGTAATCCCAATATTTGAAGAGCAGATAAGATTAAACAAGAGGTACATAGACAATGTTGTCATCATTATATGATATCGAAAGCCAAACATTTGTCAAAAACAAATTTTAATTATTAATTTTTTTTATTTTAGAAACCATATCTTTTACTATTATAGACATTGTGGCCGCCAGCGCCAGAGATCCTGAACACTGTCTGGCAACACTTGCCAAGATCACGAACTCTGTCTGGCAACACTTGCCAACAAGAGTGGCTGGCAACGTCAAAAAAGAAAAGGCGCGAAAGTTCGTTGGATTTTGTCCGGGTGTTGCCCAAGGATGTCTGTGACAGTTCTAACCTTTTCTAATAAAGTTCTTTTTTGTTACTGTTCGTGTTTGCCTGCTTAATGTTAGATCTAAACATCAGTAGGATTGAATGACAAACAGCAAAAGGGGAATGTATAAACAAAAAATGCAAAAGGCATTTCAAATGCATGGAAATTTGTGATAGAAAATAACAGCAGTGTTGGCAACTAAGCAATGTTGATTTTAAACACTTAATGAAACATCAAACACCTTTTATCACTGGGAAATGTTTATTT